TATTATATATATATATGTGTGTGTGTGTGTGTGTGTGTGTGTGTGTGTGTGTGTGTGTGTGTGTGTGTGTGTGTGTGTAATCAGAATTTCCAAGAATATTATATAAATGGAAAGGAGAAATGAAATTATTAAAAATATTGATTCGTGACATATACATCACATATATATTACGTTATATAATGGACCTTAATAAAAATACATACACGGAAATTGGAAAAATATCTAAATATCAACCCAAGAAATTTTCTATTTAATAGCGCAATAATAGTAAACATAGCATCTTCTTTTAATGACTTTTAGAACGCATCCGATGAGATCCAATAGGAGAAATGATTTTCCAAGAGAAAACAAAAATTCCTTTGTTGAAAGCCTTACATCTCCACAATACTAGAAATCGGTCCAAGATTTCAAAAAAAATTATAGCCAATCGCATTGATTAACTTGACCAAATTATTCAAATGCGGTTGATCAATTCTCTCTCCGACCGAGATCTCGGGCCGATTTCTAGAACATCACGGATACAGAGAGGGCTGAATGATCAGGTGCGTTCCGAAACTCGTTGACAAGAATACATTACGATATTTTTTTTTTATAGTGTGCGTAACGTAAGCGTGCTCGATCGTGGTGATCTATCGCGGGACGATCGTCGTGATGCGTATGTATGTACATGGTTCTTGGCGAGTAAACGCGTAGAGTGTTTTGTAGCGCAGTATTTCCGACAAGTTCTAAACGAGACTACAATTCGAGTGTCACCGTTGCTCGTCGCAGGTCGCCGTCGATTGCCGTTAACGAACCAAACGTCTAGAGATGATTCCAGTGGAAACATGGCTCGATTGCTGACGGATCCCGGCGCTTGTGTAACATATTAAATTGCCGCACTGCGTAGCCGCACGTTGTCAAAGCGATCGGCGGCACCGCTTGGCCCTTCAGCTGCTTTTTAGCCGCTGCTGGCGCTCAGCTCGGCGCAGCTCGGCTCAGCCCAGCTCGCTTCGACTTAGCTTGGCTCAGCTTCGCTCAGCTCGGCGCTGCCAAACTGTCGCTCGCCAGTGCTCGCACTGCCTCATACGTTGCACATCGTGATCGGACATCACTGTCGATTTAACCTAATCACCTAGTCGGCGAAGCGGAGTTTGCCCTCTCTTCGCAAAACGTTTCGCACCTCTCGGAGGATAATTGGTTCATCCTTTGCCCCTTATGCAATTTCTACCTGCGATCGTCTTCGGCGCCGTTCTCGCGGGGAGGTATGTGTGTTTTGTAACGATAATTTTCATTGAAAGTTTAAATTTGACGGAGTTTAAATTGGAACGATGGACTTCGCAGCGTCCTGCCTCGATATACAAGACGAACGTGCGTAGCATTTATGTACGTTCTTGACGAAATTTTTATCGCTCATCTTCATTTAGTTAAATACATATCTAGCGTGACGCCAAGTCCATCATTGGTACTTTTCCTTTTTTTTCTTTTTTATAAATTATACTTTCATCTTTATCACATTTTTTTTATTCTATCTTTGTTACAAGATAATGTATCAGCATTAAAGTTTATGAACAAATTTCTTTGTGCTAAAAGTTTATATAATTTCTTATCACTGACAAAGTGAAAATATAATTTTTTACACAATTCCTTATGTATATTTTTAGGTTACTTAAGTAACAACAATGTCTGTACACTACAAATTTAAATCTACTTTGGACTTTGATACCGTGTCGTTTGATGGACTGCATATTTCAGTGGCTGATTTGAAGAAGGCTATATTTCATCAGAAACGTATCGGCAAAAACACAGATTTTGATTTACAAATTACAAACGCACAGACAAAAGAAGGCAAATATCTCATTTTTTTCTTTTTTATCTAGTTAAATTATATAAATATATTATAACTGATTGTTGATTGTATTTGATTATTGATACTAAATAATTAATGAATGATAATCCATGATTTTTATAGATTATACGGATGATAATGCATTAATTGCAAAAAATACCAGTCTTATTGTTGCCAGAGTTCCATTGACTGTCCAACAGAAACGTTCTTGGGATCGAACTGAAACTCCTCCATTCAGTAATGTAAAAGACGAAGCTAATTTAGGCCGAGCTGTAGATCTCACAAGATTAGATGGCTCAGAAGAGGATAAAATTCGTGCAATGATGACACAATCAACTCAAGATTATGATCCATCAAAGTATGCACTTTTATTGATTTATTGATACAAATGGGGCTAATTTTACATAAAACTATATAATATACTGTTACAATAAAACTGTCTAATATAAATATATTTAATATTTTGTTCAGTTACATGAAAATTCGTGGAGCCAATCAAACTGGCGACGTACCTGCAAATTACCGTTGTTATAAATGTCACCAGCCTGGACACTGGATAAAAAACTGTCCATTGGGAATAAATCAAGAACCAATTGAAATAAAGAAAAGCACAGGTATTCCCAGAAGTTTTATGGTACCAGTTGAAGGACCTTTGGTACCTGGTGCCATGATGACACCTACAGGACACTATGCTGTTCCCGCTATCGATCAGTAAGTCTCAATTAATATATATTTATTACAAAACTTGAAACAAATGTATATATCATACATGTATATAATTGTTATTTTGTGTTCTCTTTAGTCAAGCTTACAAGGAAGGTAAAAAGGAACGACCACCATTTTCGCAAGATCCAGAACCTGTAGCAGAAAAGCCAGAGATACCAGAGGATTTATTATGCAACATCTGCAAAGATCTTTTGACAGATGCAGTAATGATCCCATGTTGTGGAAATTCCTTTTGTGACGAATGTAAATCTTTCATTATTAAATTTAATGATAAATTTACAGTTATTAAAGTTTTTATGAATTTTTGTGTTTTACAGAATCATTATATTTATTTATTTCTTTTACAACAGGTATTCGTACGTTTTTATTAGAATCTGAGGAACACGAATGCCCAGATTGTAACGAGAAAGATGTGTCCCCGGAAACTCTTATACCAAATCGATTTTTACGTAATGCAGTAATGAATTTTAAAAATGAAACTGGTTATGCTAAAAGACAAACATATCGGCCTTCTGCTCAAAGTACTGGACAAACCACGGCGTCAACTGATCAACCAAAAATTGAAACGCAGCAAGCTGCGAGTCATGTATCTTCTCAGGCTAAAACTGTACAACCATCTGTGGTTTCTAATATTCCATCGCAAGAACCTGTAGAACTGCAATCCACTAATGTCGAATCTACTTCGCAACACTTTCCAACCACTGTCTCTAGTTCGCAGCCACAATCGTCAACCAGTAAGTGTTTATTGTTATCAGACATTGTTTTAATGTATACATAATTTTAAAAGAAATAAATAAAACTAATGTCAAGAATGATTCTAATGAATCTAGATAACATAATGAGAAAAGATTGTTTTGTATACAGTTTCAAGTTTAATAAGTATTAGTTTAATCATATAATCTGTTGCATAGTTTCGATTAGCTTGAAATCAATGTGTGGCAGCATGCAGGTGTCATTTTTGTTGCTGAGAGTGTGGTATCTAGTTAATTTCATTATAAATTTTCATAATAAATTCAATAATATTATAAAAGTTTAGGTATTTTATTTAACAATGTAAAAATTATTAAAAATTTACTCAAATGATTTAAAATTAAATGTTTATTTGAAATATATCATTGAATGTATATCACTTTACAAAAATCTGACAAGTGGGAAATCCATGCTAATGTAATCACATGAAGATATTGTTATACATAGCGAAATATTAGATTTATTAATTTTAATGTTTTTACATGATATTATTTGCAATAATATTTTTTAAGTTTATTTTATGTTCAAAATATGTTACAAAAATATGTTCGTATATTATTATAAAGATCTCAAAGTGAGAAGATTTACATTATGTCTAAGATACATATCCAACATCTTTCGAAATCACAAAGAAAATCATTGTGCTGATTTTAAGATAATTTAATTGGGCATATAACATAAATATTATAATAATCTATTCACATAAATAGGATATATAATACATTATTGAGTTTTATTTATAAATGTTGTATATAATAAAATGTTCGCAGCTGTGTGTGTATGTTTTTTTATGTATGAATACGCGCGATCTTTTATCAATTTTAATTAAATATTTCATATTTATACAAATGTTTAAATGCTGCAATCATATTGATTAATGATCTCTCTCTTTAATGGTCTCTTTAATCTATACAGATAAAATATGAAAAATTCTTGTGTAAATTTCAATAACAGAAGGACAATTAATCGTCACTGAAACATTATTTTATGATACATATATAACAAGCCCTGTTTGTCATACATATATATCTTATTACATTGAAGATACTGTATCTCTCTGTGTATTTCTCGCACGTAAACAGAAGCAGGCGCCATTGTATTGGAATATGTAGTCAGTTTTTATTTTAAATTAATATCGCATAGCAGTTGAAAAAATAATTCTGTCGCGATGGGACATATCAAATTGTTTGCCTATTTTCGCTACAATCGTATATTTTTAACGATACATTTGAATTTATTTCGACCAGCTGACAATATGAAGCATATAACCTCAAATGCATTATGAAAGAAAAAAAAAGAGACAGAAACAGAATGAAAAAGTCCTGTACGCTAGTTCACTGTGCTATGGATTTATCGCTAATCCGTTCTTTAGTGAGTCGTAATCGCTAATTTGAATCGCTTAATCACATTTAATGTGCTTCTGACAGCTCTGCCTGAATCTACTTCAGAGTCACAGTTGCAAAGTGACTCGGTAACAAAACTAACAACTGATGAGGAAACTGAGGTGCCTCCTCCTCCAGGAACAGAGCCTTTACTCCCGATTCCTGCCATCGTGAGCTCACCAGAAAGAGAACGCGAGAGAAGTGATCCATCGAATCGCGATAAGAAGGAACGTGACAATGAATATTCGGGAGAACGTCAATCGAGGGAACGTCGACGAAGTTTCAGTAGGGATGGACATCGTGATAGGTAAGTGAAAAGCTGCAAATTTGCAACAACATGAAATCTCTATCGCGATGCGAAAGATGAGACGAGTCGAGTTATCTTTTATTTTCCACAATAATACAGAAGTGGAGAGCGTGGTCGCAGAATCGAGAATTTACGACCATTAAACCGTAACCGAAATCGATCCCTTTCGCCCAGGCATTCCCAACACGGCGAATATCCAAGTTCAGTGCTACCTCATTTAATGAACCCACCTCCCTCCAAGGGATATCAAGGTCATTTAGCGGATGATGGACATTATCCGTCTGCTATGCATTATGACAGTGGGATACGACGATCCAATGAAGATCGTGCAGGCACTCCAACGGTAAGTGATATCAAGAAAGTTTGTTACTTTAATAATTTATATTAATTTATATTAATTTATTATATATCAAACATTGTACATTGTTGTAATATTTTAGGTCGATGAACCACATTTACATGTCCCTTCATCTGGTAATCAACCACCGTTATTGCCGTTCCCACCAGGCGAAGAGCGCATACCGGCACCAAATTACAATCAGCCACCACCAAACGTACCTCCGCATAATCCTCCACATAATCCATCACATAATGCTCCGCTTTTGCCAGATCCATATATGAGTCATCGAATACCGATATATCCGCATCAGCAAGGACATTACGGCGGACCGCCGAGATATGACAGACCTCCTTATCAACAACAGGTATATCGACCATCTCAACCACCTCGAAACTATAATGGGCCACCGAGACCAATGAGAGGATTACATCATAGTAAGCAACTTGAATTCGATTCTGTATATCATATATGCTGAAATAACAAGCGTTCTAAATTAACTAAATTATAATGTATTCATATTCTTTCAAATTATTTTATATTGCCATTTGACATTTTATATGACTTATTGTATGTATGATTTATCAGTATTTAATTTCGGATCATCTATATCTTGTTTCAGTGGGATATAGAAATTCACAACCACCTCCACCAGGCTTAGGTAGAAATGTACACAATGGTAATCCACCTGGGTGAGTTAATTATTTTTTTAAATTTAATTTTAATTTTCTAAAACAAAGCGAAAAATCAAAAGCATGAAACTAAATGCAGGATCTTTGTGTGCGATTGTTTATAAATTAAAAACAATGATAAATATAATAATATAATATAAATAATATAATATAAATAATATAATATAAATAATATTATTTCATGCTCTTGATCTTTCATTTTGTTTTGAAAAAACATAAGCTATAGTATTATTATTTAATTTTCTATTAATTTAGAAATCTCAATCAATTTTAACGCACATTTTTTCTTTTAATCACTTGCGTTAACGTATATCTTTCATTAGAATCATCGATGATCCATTGGAAGCGTTCGAACGCATGCTCAGAGAAAAGGATGAAAGGGACCGGCGTTTGGGGAAGCATAGAAGAAGAAGCAGAACACGATCTCGTTCACGTAGCTATAGTCGATCGAGATCACGTTCTTTTGGTCGTAGATCGCCTTTTACATCTCGTATCAGTCGATCTCGCAGTCCGCCATCGAAACGAAGATCATCAAGATCACCGTTGCCTCTCAGACCTCGTAGTCGTACCCCAAAACGTAGATCCAGAAGCGGTAGCTTCTCTATCAGCAGGTACTTGTTTTATAGTTTTGAAGAAAATACGCAATCGATAATATGTTCGCTGTCGGTTAATTCTTAAAGTTTCATCCCACATTGCAGATCTAGGTCATATTCCCGCAGTCAGTCGCCAAGACTATCTCCATCGAGAGACAGAGAGAGAGACAGGGAAAGAGATCGTGATCGTGAACGCGATCGCGACCGTGATCGTGATCGTGACAGAGATCGCGAGCGAGATCGCGACTTGTTGCCCAGATATCGATCGCCAATCAGATCACCTCCAAGGTATATTTCACATAATATCCATTATCGTATAAAAGACTTTGTAAAATACATTTCGAATACACTACATTTTAAACGTGTGATCTTTCAGATTTCAAAGAGAGAGAGATCGTGAAAGAGACAGACCGCGATCACGCGAACCTCGAGATGGATATAATACTTACTATGGCGATTCGCCGGCTCATGATTATCAGTTTCGTGATCGTGAGCGCGATTTGCCGCCTAGAGAGAGACCATTGCCAAGATATCCTATAGGAAGAAATCAGCCGTCCCAACACAATATACCGCCGTTGATGTCGCATCTAGTCACTGGAAGTCACCCACCACCACCGCTTATGTCATTGGGACCTTCGCCTACGGACAGGAAAGACTATTATGATTCCTACAACAGGTATTTTCGCCTCAATAGTATTTTCATTCATGTACACTACGTTATGCAGATCTACCGACATATTTATGCCATTAGTTTACTTAAGTAAAAAGGTTCCGAAATTATGGTTGTTGAATTATACCGCGATTGAATTATAGCGATATGATATTCAAATCGAATTGTCTTGTTAGCGAGAAATTTGTGTGCACTGAACCGATTTTAAAAGTTATTTGAACTTTGCATATATAAATTAAAGACGTAGTAACGTTGCATAAATTTGACAAGCATTTCTATATTCCATCTAATTTCATAGAATGAAGTAAAAAATATTTTGTTATATTGCTAAATTAAGAGATCCATGTTTTATATTAGATACGATAGACGCGTGTACGATAGCGCACGCGCTATTTAATTTTTTAAACAGAAGGAGCAAAAATTATAATACTGTTACACTATTATTAACTCTTCACAATACAACTATCAATCAAACGATTTTCACGATGTATAAATCAATGTATAAATTTTTATATAGAAAAATTGAAAGATAAAATTTATGAGATTGATTAGTTAATTATAGATAGAGATGTTAATAATGGATTGATATATGTAAATCTTCCATATTTTTTCTTTTATGCATAAATTTGTTTTTTTTAGCTATTTATTTATTTTTTTTATTTTTTATATTAATATTATTCTTTCTTTTCTATCTAAAAAATTTATTATTATGAATATGGAAAATAATTGAAGAAAAAGGAACTAAAAGTACATATATATAATATATATGCCTTATGTCAAATTTATGCACTAAGATTGTATATTTTATAATATTTTAATTTTTGCAAGAATGATACGTTGGAAATTGTGATTATGTGTTGGATATTGTGAGATTATTGTATTGGTTAATTCGTATCTCGTATGATATTCGATTGTATAAATCGATGCATTTTTTTCTATATTCTTGTATGCTATCGAGGAGAAGAGTTGGAAAAGATTGCGTTTTTAATACCGCATATTTAATATACTCCTGTCTTAAAATTAAACTGTTATTTAATTAGTACATTTTTAAGGATAAATAAGACAAAATGTATGAATGAGAGTGAATGTGTGATTTACAGTAGAACTCCCTATCAGGGAAATGAATAATCGGTTGATCCGATAAAATATTCAAAATATTATTTATTTATAGGGATATAAATTAAACAAAAAAGATATATATTGTACATCAATATTTATTCATTTATTTGCAAAAAAATTAGTAATTTTAAAATGCCAGAAATTATAGTTGCGTTGTCCAAATGTAACACATGTGAAATAATTCTATCGCAGCATCTGATTTTTGATAAAAATATGTTGAAAAATCTTGATGAAAATACTGCGAGTTGAAGTGAAGAGCGGTTAAAGTGAAATCGGATAATAGGAAATCTACTGTATTTGCATAGCGAAACTTTTATTCTAAAATTTTTTGTATATTTATATTTTGTATTTATTCTTGCTATAGAATCCGTTTTTAATAGTTATAGATTTTTTACATTAAATAATTATTTATATTAAGATTCACAATTTTCTTTTACCACACACATATCACTATTTATGCAATACAGGCACGCACGTGCGCGTGCACGCGCGCGCTTGCATACACACATACACATGCCAACATCGACAACAAATATATGTTAATATTAGCTTATACTAATATAAATTATCTTATCTTATTATGTGTATACGAGAACTCTTAACATTTAATTATTAAGTTTAAGATATATTGTGTGATAACTTAGAAATAACAATAACATTTATATAATATTGTATTATACATATTATACATATATATGTATGCATATATTTTTGTATATATTTGATACATTTAGAATATATTTAAGTATATAACATAATATTGTTACTATCATATAAATTTCTATGTTACATTATTTTATTAATTGCAGTTTGTTAAATTATGTACGCATTTAATATACAATTTGTGTATATACACACACACACACACACACACATACACACACAGTGTGTGTATGTGTGTGTATGTGTGTTGTATATATATATTTTATATATATATATGTATATGTATATATATATAATATATCATTGCGTATGTGTATATATATATATAAATGTTTTATATAAGAGTTATATGCTATTGTAGTAAGCGTACTTTATTTATCACTGCTAAATAATGCGATATTATTGAATATATGATTGTATAAAATGCATGTGTGTAATCTATAGTATTTTACATATATATACATAAAGTATATATGTAAAATAGTATTATGTATATATGTATAT